GGCAGTTCTCTCTGAAGCCCACTCATTTTATTTTCTGGATGCATTTATCAAAACTTAGCACAGGCCAAAAGCTGTGCTCAGTAGGTTGAGGGTATGTGAGAGGCCTGGGTTCGTTTCTCAGCCCAACTTAGAAGTCTGGGTGGCGGCATTCATGTGTGTTCCTGGTGACTGGGGAGGCTGAGGCTTTAAAATAAAAACTATTTAGACAGGCCCAGTTTCCTGCGGGCTCCAGAACGCCTTGCCCTGGTGCACACGTGCTACTGAAGGGAAGCCCAGGCCTTGGGGAGCACGGACATGTGATGGGTGCACGTAGGGATGAGGGGACAGCACCGTGTTGTCACTCAGACCCTAGCCCTCTGCAAGTGGGCAGGCCGAAATTGGTCTGGCCATTAGTGATCTGGGACCAATGTTATGGCCAAGGCCCATGCCAGGCCACGTGCACTCTGACCCCCAACCCCGTTACACAGTCGCTGAGAGAGCATTCACTCTCTCTACAAGAATGTGTGCAATGAGGGAACCAGCAGTTAGCGTAATGGCTATGTCGCTGGACTCCCACGTAGTCGACAGCGGTTCGCATCCTGGACCCAGTGGCTTAAAACTCACGCCAGGTGCGTGTGCATGTGTGCTCAAGATCCCGAGAGGAGAATGGAGGAGAAGGGATTGCGGCATGACCATCCCCTCTGGGGGGTGATTTCTCGCTTTCTGTCTCTATGCCTCTCTCTGTCTAGAGAGTGCACACGCCCTATAGTGAAAACCTCTCAAAAATAAATAAATAAATAAATAAATAAAAGAATGTGTGCAATGAGACCTGTGAAAGAAAAAAAAATGGCCATCATTATAAAAATTCAGAACTTTTATTATTTTACTGAAGATGACTTTGGTTTTTTTTTATGTAACTTGAAGTATTTGGGGCCTCTCCTCTCAGCTATAGGATTCTGAAAGCCATGCTTTATACAGGCAACTGATTTTAGGGTTGTTTTATTTTTGGAGACGAAGGAGGGGTGAGTGTTGAGAAGCACAGGTCACAACGATGGGGCCTATTGTTTGAGATTCTTGTTCTGCCATTGACCAGGTCCCTTCTGCTGGGCGAAAAGCAGAGGTGGGACTGTTATGTTTGTTCAAAGTGAGTGTCCCCCACCATCAGAAAGATGAAAGAGAGTCAAAGAAACACTCTTTTCTTCTGTTCAAAGTCTCTTTTTTTCCTTTCTGCCTGAAGCACTTGTACTGAGCCTATCCATTTTCCCCCGTAGTCTCTGGCACCAAAGCTGCCCAGTGTCACCTGTAAGTCAATTATGGAAGGAGAAACACACAAAGCCATTACAAGGAAGCAAAAAGTATAAAGGCCTGGCAAACCCTGAACGCTGACACTCAGCTATGCCACGAGAAAGGAAGGATAGGAAGGGTTTCTATTTGAAAGGGTAAAGGTTGGTGCAGGAGGAAGCTAAGATGCGGGCAGTTTCCAAGAAAGCATGATTGGGACGGCATTTGAAATTTAAAAAGAAAAAGATATTTGAAATTTCCAAATAGCATATATGCTTGCTAGAGAGAGAAAGAGAGGGAGAAAGTGTCCTCAGTAGAGCATTGTCACCCCACAGTCCCTTCACTTCCATTTCTCCATCCTGTTGGGATTATGGGGCACACACGCACATGCATCTGCCGTGTTTTTCAAACTGCCAGGACTGAGAGTCAAACCATTGTCAGCCATGTGGGATCCAGCTCCCTCAACCTGGAAAAGAAGTTTTAAAGCAGCTGTTTGAGTTTATTAATCATATGTGAATGTACTGTAAGCATGTTCCTTACAAAGGGGGAAACAGAGAGACAAAGCAGTGATGCTTGTTCTGTGCCCAATGCCCCCCTCAGTGTTCTGAGATATAACTGCCTACCAAGGGCAGGAAGGAAAGGAGGTGTGCAGAGGGACTCCGCATTGAAATCAGTCCATGGGGGCTGGCCAGGTCTGGTTGAAGGCTCTGGACACCCACATGACCGACCACGGTTTGAGTCTCAGACCTGGCGGCTTACTTTCTCATTTTCTTTCTCTTTCTCTCTATCTATCTCTCTGTCACTCACTCAGTACCTCTCTGGTCAAATTAAAATAAGTAAGTAAATTAATAAAGTTAAATAAAATAATTCTTTTAAAAAAATCTTTAAATAAAAAAGAAAGAAATCAGTCGGTGGTTCCCCATCTCCACCAGGATCAAAGCAAGGCAAACTGAGGGCTAAAGCACTCAAAGAAGAATTCAGACCAGGTGCTATGCAAAGCAAAAAAAAAAAAAAAAGAGACCCTCTCCAACACAGGGTATAAAATCAGCCTCCTGACTGGCCTCCTCCCTCTTCACTTCCCCCAGTCTATTCCCAACATAACAGCCAGAGAGACCCTTCCTTTACCTCAGATCATGATACCCTCTGCTCAACACCCTCCAGGGCCTCCCCATCTCACTGAAGATCGAGGCAACCCCAGCACCCCCCAACATCTAGACCTGTCCCGGACCTGCCCTCTTGTTCACTTCCTGCTGCTCAGCCTCTGCCCCGCAGCCCCTGCCACACTGGCCTCCCGGCTAAAGACAGGTTCCACTCAGGGCCTCTGCACTCTGGTTCCTGCTGTCTGTGAAGTTCTCCTGTTTGCTCTACCAGGTCTTCGTTCCAATGTCCCCTTGTCAATGCAGACTCCCTTGACCATTCAACATCACAGTGCAGCACTTCCCAGCCTTGTGTTTCTGCACGGCATTCCACCCCCATCTGACAGGGTCTGTATCTCATGTGCGCTCACTAGAAAGAGAGAGACAGAGAGATAAAAAGCAAGAAATCCCGCCCCCCCGCCCAGGGTAAATGACCACACCACAGTCCTTTCTCCTCTCAAGATCTTGGGCATACACACATAAGCACCTGGCATGAGTTTAAGCCACCAGGTCCAGGACTCAAACCGCAGTTGGTTACATGGGAGTCCAGCGATACAGTCATTATGCCAACTGCTGGTCCCAAGGGACTATTTCTGTCTCTCTTGTTCACTTCTATAACTTCAGTGTGGAGAATAGTTTGGACATAACAAAAACATCCACCCCTTATTTGTTGAGGCAGTGGATGAACAAGATACCCCTACTGGTGGGGGATTCATGGGGCCTTCACCAGAGGGAAACACTGGCTCCATCCCACCCTTGTCTGGAAGGGATTTGTCCCGGTAATCTCAGAAAGAGAGAGGTACTCCTTTAGTAGGGTCATCATGCTTAGGGAATGAGGGGATTCATATCTCAAGTGGGGCCAGCTTCATAGAGCAGCAGTTGGGTGCTTCACAGAGGAAGTCAGATCCTACATGGCCAACCAGGGTTCAAGTCCCAGCCCCGTTAGCTTAAATAACACCAGTTTGGGATTCTGGCAGGTTGGAGAATTGAAAGAAAAGGATTGCGGCATGACCAGGCTCCGTTGGGGTGTGTACTTTTCCCCTTTCCTCTCATGCATGAATATGCACCCTTTAGTATTAAAAATGAATAAATAAAAAAGTTAAAAGTTGTTTTAAAAATATATTTAGGAGCCAGCAAATGCTGTCGTGGTTAAGGGGCTGGACCTCCGCAGGGCTGACCGCGGTTCAAGTCCCAGACTCAGCAACGCGAACCATGTCAGGCACTTGTGCATGCATGCCCAAAATCCCAAGAGGAGAATAGAGAAGGGATTGCAGTGTGGCCATCACCGCTAGGAGATGATTTCTCACTTTTCCTCTCTCTGTCTCTCTTTCTCCATCAAGCACATGCACCCTATGCCAAAAACCTAAGAAAAATAAATATTTACATATAGAAATATAATCTACATATTTAATATATTTTATACATATTTATCTTAAATGTCTTTCTCAACAGGTGCTATCCACCAAATATGCAGGATCTAACCTTTGAGAGAAAAGGTCTTATTGCCCGTTGTCCTCTTCCTGACAGTTAATCTTACAATTTTCTATATAAATCTAAAGAGAACATGCAAACTATTTAGCCTTTAAATATACTCTGTGATTCTTTTACTCATGAATTTAATCTATCAAGTAAATCTCATCATATCTGATTATACGATCCTGAGCATGTAACCTAGCTGGGAGAGAGGAGAAAAGTGTCTCTGACCACTGCAGAGACACTTCCAGGTGGAAAATATACCAGGCAGCCCTGGCACTGAGACCAGCCCTTACAGATATTGCTCAGCCGTCATGTCTTTGTGGGAAAATGCAAGAAAGAGCTGTGGGCAACAGGGAGTAGCAATATGGAAAAATTAGAAAAATTAATAGATTTACCTCCTGTGGTTTCTTCCAGATACAATTACCTGAAACTCTAAGCACAAAACCTAAGCCTTTGTTTTAGCGTTCTCAAACTTCTTCTTGTCATATGCTATTTGTTCAATATGGAGAGTTTAAAAAAAAAAATTCTTCCTAGACATAATTTCATTTACAGAGGTTGGCACACAGGTGCACTCCACCAGCAGCTTTCTTGGATCCTGATCTATCTTGCTGAGAGGAAATTTCTGGCCTGTGTGGTTTGATTCTGCAATTACCATAATCTCCACTCTCCAGAGGCTGAGGCGGTGGAGTGGATTACTGCCCAAGCCTTCGGGGTCTCTGGAGAAGAGAGTTCAAATCCCGAGCTTAGGTCATAAGGAAAGATGAAGGGGGTTGGTCTCGTGGTTTATCCCCCTTTGGGAGCTGTGAAAGGCACAGCTAGTTATGATTATTAATCTTGTTCAGAAGAAGCCCAGTCAGAAATGTGGCGTGTTGATCCTCACCCAGAGACGCTGGCAAGACTCACACGTTCCTGCCTGTCTGAATTCACTCTGGTCTTTTGCAAACACGTGAATTGTTTCAGAAGAAATTAGTCACTTCGTGTGACTGTTGGTTCACTGGCAGAGGAAAGCATGTTATTTTGCAGAAATGCCCAAGTTCAAATAACTTAAAGGGAGACGAAGTAGCCTGCGAGTATCAGCACATTATGCAAAGAGGGGCGGTTCAGTTCTCTCACCTTCTTTCTTGACAGGTGTATTTCTACTGGATTTGCCGAGACGCAAGGGCTTTCGAGTGGTTTGCTGATCTCTTACTCTCGCTGGAAACACGGATGAGTGAGCGAGGGAAAATTCACTTGCTGAGTTATCGTATATTTCTTACTGGCTGGGATGAAAATCAGGTATAGATAGGACTCAGAATAAGCAATATTGCCTAACTCATCTAATAATAGAGCAACGAGAATGGGAACGCATTTAGTAATGAGCTATACGGTTACCCAGTAGCATAAAAGAATTACTTACATGTTCTTACAGATGAAAGGAGAATAAAATAAAACCAAATGAGAAAAAACGAATTAAGCTGTAACAGTGAAAAAACCTGCAGTGAACTTGCTGAGTAATAAAATAGGGGGGAAGCAGGTCGGATGATGGAAGACAATCTGGGAGTGGGAAATCCAAATAAATTTGCATTTGTCGTTTTAAGAGTGACATCAGACACATGTTGTTGATTGGCCATATTATCTTCTCGAGTTCCTAATTGATTCTAATTTTATGCTTTGAGCTGTTCAGAGTTAGAAAAAATCCCTAGGGGTGCACATTCGACATTTTGTATTGTAAAGTATATGAATATCTACAGAAAATAATTATTACAAAGACATGATGTGTCTAGAGATTTTTTTCTTTAGTTGTTCTTAGAAATTGTGTGCATGTATGTTTATTTACCTAAGATCAAGATGACCTGTTTTGGCAGGTGTTGTGCAGTATATTACAACAATGTAATATTAAGACTGAGTTTACTAAAAATCTGTAACAAAATATTGACTGTGGTAGCATTTCAACGCTGATAATATTGAATGATGAGTATTACGTTTTAATCCATTTTAACTCCTCAAATATGGGTGTTAACAATGACGTGATTTCTAGGATACAAAATGTATATTCTAATCGGCACCTCTGTAGCGACTATTATTAATACATACTTTTAAGGAAAGTGTATTTGATCAAAGAAGATTTACATTAATCACTAAATGTATAAATGAATGCACACGCATACACACACACACACACACACACACACACCGGTCCTAGAGAACATCACTGTAATGTAATTCTGCTTCTACAAATGAATAAGACTTTACTTGAAATTCACTAGCTTAATGAATTTTTATAGTCTTATTGGCAGTCCTCCTTAAATATTTAATCCTCTGGGATAATTTGAAATGTGCGTTTCTTGGGAACTAGGCTTGAACCATCTTAATGAATTATATACTGTTAATTATGTTTTCCAAACAAACATTTTCCTTATTCAAGTGGGATTTTTGACTGATGATCCATTTGGTGGAGTACAGACAGGGCTTGTGCCTTTTGCTTTCTAGTATAAGGCTGGCTTTCTTCTCCTGAAGTGAATGGATTCCAAGTGCACACCGAGGCATTCTCTGTCATTTGGGAGTTTCAGGACTCAGGTTCTCAGAGCTGAGAACTGAAGTTGATTCTGTGGCAACACAACCCTGCCCCTCTAACCTCTGAATATGCTATAAAATATACTTTTTTTGTAAGTACAAGTAAATTAAAATGGAATTCTTTAGTTTTTGCCATGACAGGTTGATCATCTTTTTGGACTCCCAAATTCCAGTGAAGAAATCACTAATCTTGGGACCAGCAGATGGCATAATGGTTACATTGTTGAATGCCCACATAGTCTATTGTGGTTCGAGGCCCAGACCAGGCGGCTTAAAACTCACGCTAGACGCATGTGTGTACATGCCCAAAATTCAAATGGAAGAGAAGGAATTGCAGCATGGCCATCCTTCCTGGGGAGTGATTTCTCACTTTCTCTTTCTGTCTCTCTCTGTCTCTCCAGTGAGTGCACGTACCCTATAG